GGGGGGGGTATGTAGCTCTGACAAATAAAGCCCTGAAGTCATACTTTAAGCACTTTCAACATTTTTCATGTAGTCAGTTTCATTATTGCCACTAAATACTCATGATTACCTCCTACTAGAGTAGCAGAAACCAGAAAACCAGATACCTGTTATTGAAAAAATTCAGATTCTATTTAATTGAACAATTTTTCTACTATTAACAGTAACTCACCAACTATAATGAAAGAAACAGTGAAAATGTAAAACTGCCCTACACATGACCCAAGCACCCTTTCTCCACTTTCCACACATTCTAAGAATTTTATTCTTCCCTTCTCCCTGAAATAAATATGCCAGGTATAAATACCATGAGTTTTCATTAAGCAGCAAGGTCAGGAAGAGGGCAACAATCATTTTGTCTGCTTGACTCACCACAAGCTTTTGCCTAGGAATATGCAAGGGCCCAATAACAAAAAGTACTTCTTAAATTGAGAGTTACTTAATCATTATCTGAATTAAGTAGGAATTTTTATATATATATATATATAAAACTATAATACTGTGTGTTTTTTCTCTATTCTAGAGATGGTTTGCATATGTCTTCACCAACACTAAGGCATACAATTTGGCTACTTGTTAAAATATTTTCCTAAGATGGTGAACTGCTGCTTTCAGTTTTTAGGATGGAGAGTGGGAGAAGGCATACTAGTAGTTTGACTCACTTAATTGCAAAATCTAATCTTTAAAAGATGTTGTAAATACTACTTAAATGTACCAAAAAAATCTATATTTAACAATGTTACCATCTCATATAAATAAGACTCATAAAACATCCTGATCTGATGGATGTAATGCAGAGAGATAATTGAACAGCAACCTAACAATTAATGCAGACTATAATTCAGAAATAACAGAAATTTATTCACACTGACACTGGAGCTGAATTTTCTGATGCAAAATCTTCAAGAGAAATACCATCTCAGGCTCTTCTTCCCACACACTTCCATCCTACTTTCCCACTGTGAGCCAAATGGACAAATTAATTTGATGAAAAAATAATCCATGATCTTCCCTGTAGTAGAATCACAGAGCTGTGCCTGTAAACCTGACGGCATGTTTTCATCATACATTCCAGCTAAATTAATGGTTTATTACTACAAAGGTGAATAAATGGCTCACTACACC